CACCACTTGCCCACTTGCCTCGGCCTAAACAGGGGCTGACTCYGAAAGGCCAGTTCTAGAAACTTCTACTTTGGCCTTTCGGTACTGTAGCAGCTACGACTTTGCCCTTTCAGGTAAGTAGCAGCTACGRCCTTGACCCTTCAGACATCCTACARCTACGACTTCGGAACTGTCTAGACTCCTACCCTACAGGTCTACAGTTYGATTCCCTTCTAAGYTGTGACCTACGACAATCTACCTACCACTGGTGTTTCGACARGTCGCAGGTTCAAATCTACGGGTTGTCATCAWTAYTGTACACARGTAAGATGGGGAACTAGGGATCGAGCCCTGGGATCTGCATTTGCTACYGCGAACTGGTGAATACCGTTTCATGGCGGCTAGTGCCTCCATAATGACTAGRAAAMGGAAGTGGGCACTAGGATCCCCTTGGCGGACCGATCGTTCTARGTGTAGAGGAGGCGCAAGACTTYCATTGGCTTGGACGCATGTGGTAGCGTTTTGGTGTAGGATTTGTATCCAGCRAATGAAGTMTGGGCCGAAGTTCATTTTTTYGAGACACTTATCKAGAAACAATCAGTCAACATGGTCATAAACCTTTTTGAAGTCAATAAAGATGAGAGCCGYATTTGACGCGAGTGCCTTGTGAGCTGAARGATCTCTTGGATCAACAAGATRTTTTTTTGTATGTTCCTGTTCTTCATGAAGCCGGTTTGAGAGGGATGAATGATGTCCTCCGTTACTGGAATCATTTGGTTTGTCAAGGTCTTGCACAACATTTTGTAAACAACTGTGAGGAGCGTTATTGGCCTATAATTCCTGATGTCCATCTTATCCYCTTTTTTATATAGGAGGGTTAAAACCTCTTGCCCCACCCTTTCTCCCATCTCCCYTGTGAGCCATACTTCGTTGTAAAAATCCATAACGTCTTGGCTCATAAAATCCCATATGGTTTCCCAAAATTCTTTAGGAAAGYCATTTATCCCARGGGCCTCTTCCTCCTTCATTTGCAGAAGGRCGGTCCATATCTCGTTTTTTTAGAGTGRAGYTTCTAAAGAATCCCATTGTTCGGGTGTAAGTGTTTTGTTAACTGGTTCCAAAAATTATTTTATTAAGCGTTCGTGGTGTGACAGGTCTGATTTATCTAAATGTGAAGAAAAAAAATCTTTGTAGAAGTCGTATGCTATCTTCATGCTGCGGCCTGTTGTTACGGTCGGGTCTGATTCCCTGGCCTTGGGTTCGTACAG